TAAATTTCTTTAAAAAATAACTTGACATAGTTCTTGGTAGATGGTTTGTGTTTGTTTCTTTTCAGAGCTGGGAATAAACTCAGCTCCACACAAGCACTAACTACTGAGCTACGGCCTCACATAAGCACTCAACCACTGAGCTACAACCCCACATAAGCTCTCAATTACTGAGCTACAACTCCACACAAGCACTCAACCACTGAACTCCAGCTCCAGCCAATGCTTTCAAACCCATTGACTCAAAATCTCCACGACACTCCACAGTAGGCACTAGAACTACCCTGTCACAGATAAGGACACTGCATCACCGAGAGGCTAAAAAGCTTGCCCAAGATTTTATGCTTAGTATGTGATAAAAGAGGTATGGTGGTGCACATCTTTAATCCCAGCCCAGGATGCAGAGGCAGGCAGAACTCTGTGAGTTTGAGACCTGCTTTGTCTGCATACAGCCTCTGTCTCAAAACCAAAACAACAACAACAAAATAATAATAAGAACAAAACAACCAAATACAGTATAATCCTTTCTAAAGGCATGCACATGGCGCACACACAAGTCAGGCTGAACCTAGTGGTGATTGGTCCCAGGTGGGGAGGCGAGGAGTCAGTGTGATGATTAGAGCTACCAACTTGATAAAATCTAGAACCACCCAGGAGATGAACTTTTGGACATGCAAAGGGGATGTGAGTGGTGGGTGGTGCCATTCCCTGGTGGGGACCCTGGTCTGTATAAAATGGAGAAAGAGGCATCAGGCATTCAGCACTCTCTGCTCCTGACTGTGGATGCAACGTAACCAGCTCCCTCAAGCTCTTACCACTGTGACTCCCCACCATGGCAGACTTGACCTGGAGCTCCAAGCCAGATCAGCTCTTTCTCCCTTAAGTGCGTGTTTTCAGAGTGTTTTTTATCATAGCAACAGGAAACAAAGACAGCCATGGTCACGCTTCTGCTTACTGATTTCTCATTTTTTGTCCCTACTGGAATTTCTCTTTATTATTATTATTTTTAATAATTTATTTAACTTTATTTAATGTGCATTAGTGTGAAGGTGTCAGATCCCCTGGGACTGGAGTTACAGGCAGTTGTGAGCTGCCATGTGGGTGCTGGGAATTGAACCGAGTCCTCTGGAAGAGCAGTCAGTACTCTTAACCTGTGAGCCATCTCTCCAGCCCCTATTATTATTATTATTATTATTATTATTATTATTATTATTATTATTAGTTTGTATGTATGTGTGAGAAAGCGTGTGTGTGTTTGGGGGGGTGTATCTCACACTTGTAGCCCAGGCTGTTCTAGAACTCACTAGGTAGTGCAGACAATCCTCCTGCCTCGGGTTTCTAAATGCTAGGACCCAGTATGAACCACATGCCTGGCTTTTGGCTTCTTTTTGGGTGTAGGGGGTATTTCTTTTTTACATAATTAATAGATGGGAAAGATACTTATAGAGAGATGAGAAGGGGCACAGTCCTGACTGCTACACTGTAGCAAGAGATGGTTCTGTCTTGGTTTGGGCCAACATGGATAGAAGGCTTTGACCTACTTCATCAAGAAGAAGTTGACCATCCCCCAGTACCCTTGACAGGTGTGAGAAGAACTCTATCCTGGCATGGGGCTATCTGGGGTACCCATCTTGGGCTAGCCCCCCACCCCCACCCCAAGTAGGTATATTAATGATACCTTCATTTTCTGTAATTCTGATGATTTGATATCTATGGTTTTGCCCTCCTTGTACCAGCAAGAGCCTGTTAGAGCTTCGCCTAACAAGACCCTTCAGATATCTGCCAGCCAATCCAGAGCCCTCATACTTCCTCCACAAGACTGTCACGTGTGGGGTCCAGCAGCAGACAGCTAAGAACAGCCCCGGCTCCAGAGCCTGCTGAGATGATCCCAATGAGCCAGTCTAAGGCCTGTTCCTCCATGTTGGTTCTCTCTCTCTCTCTCTCTCTCTCTCTCTCTCTCTCTCTCTCCCTCCCTCCATCCCCCCGACATGAGAACTCTGCATGTCTGCCTCCATGCTAGAAGAGGGCATCAGATCCCATTATAGATGGTCGTGAGCCACCACGTGGTTGCTGGGAATTGAACTCAGGACCTCTAGCAGAGCATCAGCGCTTTTAACCACGGAGCCATTTCTCCAGTCCCAGGTTTTGTTTCTTAAATAAACCACTAAATCTTCCTTACTCCCTCTGCCTCCCAGCTGACCTGGAGCCCCCAGAGTTACTCTGTATACTGAGGTGAGCTGTGCTGTACTGAGCAGTGTTGGGCCATGTCCCTTCCTCTTGGGAACTGTAACAAGCCACCTTTCCAGTGGTAACTGTCTCCAGGCCTGCAGGCCTGGCTATACCTGCTTCATGGGAAACTACCTTTCTGCCAGCAGACTCACGTGCCCTCAGCAGTCAGGCAGGGAGGTCCAGTTTTCTCTGCTGGATGCGCACCAGCCTTGACTCGGCCAAAGCTGAGCAACTCCTGGCCCCACTCCCTGGAGCTCACGCTGGTGTGCGCCATACCTGCTCTCCACAGTGTGTCTCCACTGTGGCCTGTGGTCAAATGCCACAGACTGTATCCCAAGCCTATGCCACAATCAGTTCGGACGGCTCATCCCAGCAAGGGCCGGGCTCCCTCGGCCGTCGGGACCTCCCTTGCTTCCCAGGACACTCACCGCACCACAGCGTGCGGCTCCATGGGGCTCAGGGTATCATATACGGTGACCAGGTCACTGCCTTGCTCATCACAGGGAGCGACATCAAAGCTGCGGAAGGTGAGGCTCAGGACAGAGTTGGCATCCCCCCGCAGGACCCACTGGCAGCGGGCATGAGCTGGGTAAGGGCTGTTGGGGAAGCCAGGGGTGGTGAAGCGTGTCACCTCCCCATCATGGGCATGCAGGGCAAAACTGCAGCTTTCTGTGTGAGAGACAAAACAGAAGGAAGGTGTTGACCCTGCAGGCCACACCCCGGGGTCTAGCCCCCCGCCCCCCCCCCCACATCCCAAATCACCAAAAGCTCACTCAGGTAGACACAAGGAAGGGGCTTCTTGGAGGGGAAGGGGAAAAGAAGGTATGCCTGTCCTTCAGCACCATCTAACTTCTGGGGAGCCCACGGCTTAAGGGGCATCTGACAAGATCCCGCTCTTTCCCACCAGGGGTCCACATGACACTTACTGTCCCGAGGCCTCTGCAGCATTCTGGGGTCAGTGGCTGAAGAACAAGAAGGTAAACATTTCACCAAAACGATTTCCTTACTCTTGCTTCCTTATTACCAAAAGGGAGGTGCCAGCCAGCCAGCAGTCCTCGGGTCACCTGAGCCTGTGGGCGCTGATCCCCGGCCCCCCGCTTCTCTACAGGCTGGGCCACACACTCCCGCCCGAGGCACCTGAGCCTGTGGGCGCTGATCTCCGGCCCCCCACTCCTCTACAGGCTGGGCGACACATTCCCACCCGAGGCACCTGAGCCTGTGGGCGCTGATCCCCGGCCCCCCTCCTCTACAGGCTGGGCCACACATTCCCACCCGAGGCACCTGAACCTGTGGGCGCTGATCCCCGGCCCCCCACTCCTCTACAGGCTGGGCCACACACTCCCGCCCTGGTCCGCCCCATACTCACGGAAGGCCACCACAGAGGTCAGCTCGAAGGATTTCAGAGCTCGCGCTCGAGGTGGCAGTATGGCCACTCGCTCCACAGCCATGGCTCGCTCAACCTCTTCCGCCAGGTGCGGGGGGATGCTGAACTCTGACCAGTAGTAGGCGATGACACTGCCTTCACTGCGGAGACAGGGGGGAGCCTGTGATGTGGAGCTCCGGAGACCTGCGTTCTCTATTACCAACGAACACACGGCAGTTGAGGCTACTCCGAGAGACACCAGCCTGCCTCGGGCTCTCTGTGCTGCCCGCCCACTCTAGCCCTTGACCTTTGCTTGCTCTCTTGGTCTCAGCCCTCAAGCGGACATGTCCTGGGGTCAGCTCAAGTTTAGGAGTGAGGAGGAAGCCTTTCTGGACACCTCAACTCCCTCAAGCCCAAATCTGGAAAATCAATGTCTTTCTGAATGTAGCACACGCGGACGTCCCCCAGCCAGCACCACTAACCATCAATCCCTGCCGTGGAGACAGGAGGACCAGGTGTTCTAAGTCAGTTGCACAAAGGACAGACACGTGATCCTATGCCCAGGCAGTCAAGGCCCACATCAGCGCCAAAGCTGGCACCCACCTGAACGCAGTTATACCCGACCTCTTGTAGTAGGGACCCAGGACAGGAACTTCACTGTACAACTGCTTCAGCTGAGGGGAGAGGACAAGGCATGAAGCTGACCAAACAGTAGAAATGACCCTTCCCCGGGCTGCTCCCATCCTCTACCCGACCCCCAGCTCAGGGATCCGGAGGCAAAGATGAGCGGGGTCACGGTGGGGTGTTGAGACGCACGGACTCACCGCTTCCTTCACCTGGATGGCCAGGCTTTTGAACTCCGTGGAGTTTGAATTCTCATAGGCATCCAGAAAGTTCTCATTTGTGATCCTCAGATGGCCGTTGAAGACTTTTTGGACCCGAACATTCGAAACTGCCAAAGGCCACCAAGTGGTCATGGACAATGACGCAACGTCACCGGTTCCACCCTGCTGCCCTCAGCGGGGAGGGACAGATGTGGAGGGGGCCAGATCTGACCAGTTCCCCATCATTCACCATCATGGCCTGAAAGGACTCAGGGAGACAGTTTCCGAGAACACTTCCCACTAATCCTTCTCCTCCCGTCCCCTCTCATCCCTTCCCCATTCTTTCCCTGTCCATCATAGGTGGCCCTTTGTCTGTCCACTGAGGGAAGAGGGAACATTACCATTATGTCACCCTCCACAGCCCCCACTGTACTCACAGTGAAAGTGCCACACCAGCAAGCCGGCCACGAGGGACAGCAAGAGGAAGCCCAGCAGCATGGCCACCAGCACCACCCAGCGCCTGGGGCCTCGCTTCTCCACTTTCTTGGCATTGTTCGCAGGCAGGAACTCCACACCCTCCTCAAAGCCATTCATGTTCTAAACAGAAAGGTGTTTCGGGACTCAGAAACGCTCCCCACAATAGCTTCCCAGCCCCGGGAGTTCAGGGACACTCGTGACCTTGGGAGAACCAGGAACGGGCAAGAAAGAAGGGGGCTTCACCCACAAGTGCAGGGTCTCTGCGCTCAAGGGCCTCCACCTGTTCCAAGATGCAAAACACCACCCCAGTGGAGGAAATGGAGGGGCTTCCATCCACACCTCCATGGCTCGTGGGCATGAACTGCTGAACAAAACCTGGAGCAGGGTGCGCTGGCATGTTCCTACAGGTCCAGCCCTTGGGACTTGAGGGCAGAGGATTAGGAGTTCAGGACCAGTTCAGCCACAGGAGGAGTTGGAAGCCAGCCTGAGCCACATGAGGCCCTTTCTCAAGTCCTCCAAACCAAACAAGCGCAGGACTTCGGGAGTGTCTACACCAGCACTGAAGATCTGGATGTGCAAAACATCTTTGGCATGGATGGCTGCCCACATGCAGGGAGAGCAAACAGCCCAAGAACAAAGACGGGACTTCTAAGACCAGCCTCGACTGTACCAATGCAGTCCCCTGGCCCAGTCACCTGGGCCAGAAATTCTGTGGGCAGGATGGAAATTGCCCACCCTGTCTGGCAGCCTTACCCCTGATATTTCAAAGAAAGCAACGGTCCCACCTTGAACCCCACGTTGACTACCTCAGCTGCAGAACTGTTTTAGGTTTCTGAGACACCGCTGCTGTTGCCTAGGTACTGTATGTCAAGCTCCAACCAACATTTCTTCTTTTTTTAAAATGCGCGCGCGCGCGCGCGTGCGTGCGTGCGTGTGTGTGTGTGTGTGTGTGTGTGTGTGTGTGTGTAGGGGGATGGGAGTCAGGACAACTTGCAGAAGTCAGGTCTACTTCCACCACGTGGGGTCCAGGGACTAAAATCGGGTTGTGAAGCTTGATGACAAAGGCCTTTAGCTGCCCGGCCACCTTGGTGGCTGCTCATCAACAATTCCATACTGTATATGATACATTCTGATGACTCTCTTCCCACACCCTCTCCTTCCCTGCTCCCCCTATCAGATCCCCCATTCTTTTTTTTAAATAATTTATTTGTTTTTATTTCATGTGCACTAGTGTTTTGCTTGCATGCATGTCTGTGTAAGGGTGTCAGATCTTGGAGTCACAGCTGTGAGCTGCCATGTGGGGTGCTGGGGATTGAACCCAGGTCCTCTGGAAGAGCAGTCAGTGCTCTTAACCACTGAGCCATCTCTGCAGCCCCCTCACCCCATTCTTCCTAACAGTCTCTTTCCCAGACTTATGGCTTCTGGTTTTGTGGCCTGCGCAGACCCAATGCAGACAGTCACAGCTGCCATGAGTGCATGATTACAATGGCTGAGTCTGGCCCCAAAATGGTGTTTTGCAGCTGTCCTGAATATTGCCCAGCTCTTACATTTTTTCCGCCCCTCTAACACAATGTTCCCTGGTCTTGGGTCTCAGAGGGAAAAGGTGTAAGTGTCTTAGGGCTAAGCCCTCATCCATTGTCTATTTCCAGCACCTCGAGCAGTCAAAAGACTTTGCATTCACTGCCTGAACCAACACTGGATCTGTCACATCGTCGCAGCATTAACACTGGTATGAGAGAACCCACCCACTGCCGCAGGAGAAACCTTGTATCTCACAGTTTCATGCCATTACTTATCCGATCCCACAGATGCCTATCTCAGAGGTAGGCACTTAAAAATCACTCATTCTACTTCTTCCAGAAGTCTCTATTATATAGAGCAGACTAACCTCAAATTCACAGATACCCCTGTCTCTGCCTCCCCCAGTGTTGGGATTAAAGGCACACACCCCCATGCCCAGCTCACTTTTTAAAATTATGTGTATCTGTATGTGGATATATGCATGTGGGTGCAGGTAGGTGCCCAAGAAGGCTTAAAAAAGGGTGTCAGATCACCCGGAGCTGGAATAACAAGCTATTGTGAGCTGCCTGGCGTGGATGCTGGGAGACAATTTAGGTCCTCTGGAAGAGCAGCAAGCACTCTATTGCTAAACTCTGATTTACTATTTTGATAATGTAATAACATCCTTCCTTCCTTTTTTTCTCCTCCATCCTCCCAAAGTTGGAGAACCAAAGTTTAAAAATAAAACAAACAAACAAAAAAAGTAAGCTAAGTGGTGGTGGCACACACCTTTAATCCCAGTACTTGGGAGGTAGAGGTAGGTGGATCTCTGAGTTCAAGGTCAGCCTTGTTTACAGAAAGA